GTCGCAGTACTGGGGCAGCTTGCGCACACTCTCGACCCACGGCACGCGGAGATACAGGTGACCCGCCTTGTCCATCTCGTCGTACGTCGACTCCTCGACCTTAACCGTCCGCGGCGCCACGACCGTCTCGCTCAGCACACTGCATGGGAACACAGCGAGACACATTCAGGGAATGATGGCTGTCCTTAAGAATTCTGCAGTGCTCAGAGCTCACCCGCCGTCGTAGGACTCGCCCCCATGAAAGACCAGCAACTTGTTGTCCTTGGTCAGCCACACATCCAGCTCGACCTCGTCAATGCCCAGCATCGCTGCCTCGACAAAGGCGGCCATACTCTTCTCGGGCACACCCGCCTTGCTGGGGCATCCGGGGACAGAACAACCAGACCCGCGATGACCTGCAATGCAGAGCAAAGCCCAGCCCCAACAGCAGAAAATACTCTCTGGTTTTCAGAGGGCGGTGGAGTGACGGTGCACCTGTCACCGCTGCAGGCATGGCACAGGGGCCTGCCGCAGGGTGTGATGCCTCCCTCAGCTGCAGACGGCTCAAACCCCTCCGATTGGACTTGAGTATTTCCCCATCCACACAAGGGCCAGCAGAGAGCTCGAGGAGAACAACGAGGAGCATAGGTACGGCCGACATGGCTGCGCGAAAGGGCGAACGACTATATGACGGTCGAACTGTGTGTGAAGCAGGCATTGTCAGCTCATCCCGTAATGGCGCTGCGAGCCTGGGGGCGGCTCACGGCGTCTCATGAACCGCCCCCAGGCTCGCACGAGCCGAGGGGGGCAAGGGCTGGAGCGCTTCTTCCCCACCACAAAATGGCCGTCCTCTCCTTCGTCTCTTTTGCGCTGTTGTTCTTACCCTATTGCTCGTGCCACAACCTGCGCGTAGGTGGCGAGCGTTTCGGCCGCCAGCTGCCCGATGAGCCCCATAACCCACGTCGTATTCCTGACCAATGCTCGCGCCCCCAAAGCATACAAATCACCGGTCATCGTGGATGCGGCTGCAGTATGCCGGGATGCCCCAGCAAGGCGGGTGTGCCCGAGAACAGTATGGCCGCCTTTGTCGAGGCAGCGATGCTGGGCATTGACGAGGTCGAGCTGGATGTGTGGCTGACCAAGGACAACAAGTTGCTGGTCTTTCATGGGGGCGAGTCCTACGACGGCGGGTGAGCTCTGAGCACTGCAGAATTCTCAAGGACAGCCATCATTCCCTGAATGTGTCTCGCTGTGTTCCCATGCAGTGTGCTGAGCGAGACGGTCGTGGCGCCGCGGACGGTTAAGGTCGAGGAGTCGACGTACGACGAGATGGACAAGGCGGGTCACCTGTATCTCCGCGTGCCGTGGGTCGAGAGTGTGCGCAAGCTGCCCCAGTACTGCG